GTAAAGATGCCGAAAATATAAGTTTAGCTATGTAGATTACATACAATACTTTGTTTATCGTCCTAAGACAGATAATAAATAAAAAATACCTTAGTTAAAAAACAAAATAAAACCCAAAATATGGTTGAGTTTTAAATACAATTTAAAATTTTAATTTATTTAACAAAAGGAGAAATATTAAGACTATAAGCAAATTTATTTGTATGTATTTCTTTTTTTATTTAAAAACGTTTCAACCAAATATAACTTCAATTTTGATAGGACTTAGATATAATATTAACATGGACTATGCACATAATGTTAAGTGTTCAACCTTCTCGAGGACTGTTGTTAATATTGTATTAAAAGATTTATTATTATTGTTAATATTATGGAGCTATATTTATTATTGTTTTTAATATAATATTTATTGCATTTCTTCTTATTATTACTTTTCATTCTTATTAATAGTTACAAAATATAGTATGGAACTTTATAGCTTAACTTATAAACAGAATTGGCTACCTTTAATATAACCAACCTTTTTTTGAAAAATTTTAATATTTTAGACTTAGCCGTAGAATAAGTTGTATTGTATTTATTAATACAAGTTTAATTTAAGTTATTCCATTAATACCAGAAAAATTAAAGAGAAAACAAATTTAGGAAAAAAAACTATTTTATCCTAGCCTTCAGAAAAAACATCACTAGTATCATATCTGGGGTTCGAGCTCGGATTCTCGTTAAGATCTTAGCATACTCAAGCTGAATCTTAAAATAATATGTTTTTATTAATCCTTAAATCTAAGTTTCTAAGAAATGAAATATTCATTTGGATACATTTATATACGGTAATAATATCAGATTGAAGAATCGATATTATTAAAGTTTAATGTTCAATATCTTGAAAATTTTACTATGTATTTGAATAAAATTGTAAATATCTGTAAAAATAAAAAATAAAAGTTGCAGATAGTTCAAATATACGAGATATTTTAAAATTATATTAGTATATAGTAATTAAAATTTATATGAATTTTATTTTATATATTATATTATATAAATATAATAATATAATAAAATAAATATTAAAATAACTATTAATTTTAAATTTATATAACATTAAATAAAACAGATTGTAGAAATCGAATAGAAAAATAGAAAATACAAAGCCCAAAATTTTTAAAAATATAAAGGAATTATATGACTTACAAACCCGACAATTTTCGAAATTATATACAGACTTTAATTACTTTATTATATTAGAAAATAAAGTTAATAAAATACAATGCAGACTATACAGCAGCTCAGGAGGCAGGCTAATGAAAGGGCGAAACCTGAGCAACTGGAAGAAAAAAGAAGAGTGGAATAACAAAACCTGCTGCTCAATCTTTGAGTCCGCCCAAGCTGCGTTGGCTAATTACGAATTCAGGCAAATGCGCGCTAAAAAAATAATAAAAACAATTTTGGACTGCTTCAGAGGGTTGGTAATTGAAACAAATCTAATAAATGGAACCAAAAATGTGCGTACATCAAGGCGGGGACACTTTGCCCGTCCAACTCTAAGTGAATTTTTTAGCTGCACAAATCGAACTCTTACTTTCAGCTTCAGTTTCTTTCTGAGCCTGGGCCGCTTATACAGGCAGCACACGTAATGAGATGCTTGGATCCTGTGACGCATCCTTTTGCCCTGGACTTGCTGCTAACAAGAAAAAAAAAGAGAAGAACATTTGCATAATTTCTTAAACAGTTTTCATTATTTCAATGTCTGCATTTTAAGTAATTTTTTTCTTTCTTTTCTGTGTATTTTTTCGTAGCATATTTTTGGGCCTCGCCGAAGCGTGGCCCATTGCAATTAAACGTGTAATTACTCGACTGCTTAAAAATGCGAGCCCTGTCCGGAGGGTGCTGATGGCTTACCCCTCCCCCCTGTCTTAGGTTTTTGGCCGGCGTCTCTTTTTTTTTAATTTTCAGCCCACATTGTTGTTATTGTTGTTGTTGTTGCTTCGTTTACGGAAGTTTTAGCTTGTTTTCATTTGATTTTCCTATTTATTATGGTCTGAGTTATTAGCGCGCTCTCATTACAAACAGCAGAGAAAAACGTTCGGGGGTTCTGTTTACTTGTTGTGACATTCTCAAGTGGTGCATAAAAATGGGCAGCAGCAGGTGGAGAGGGGATTGGTAATTTGTGGCTTAAAGCAACTGTTTATACACTGAACGCAAGGTGGGAAAGAGTCTATGGGCTATGTCTCTCGTGCATGGACAGACGGACTCTGGTCGTATTAATGCAACCGTGTTTTGAGAGTTGAAACATGAGCTTAAAAATATTAATTAAAGTTTATCTGTGACAGATTGAGTCTTACAATTTTCTTGGCAACATTAGGAGGTAGGCGAATCGAGAAAATTGATGTCACACAGAGATCACGCCCTACAGAAGTAGATAGTTCCTTAAAGTATGAGTTTGAGAGCGACGGGATTTACAGTTTTTGAGTCGCTCAACAAATAATTAACTAAACTCATTTCAATTTAATATGTAAATACACCGTGAACACTGTATTGTCAGTCGATTGCGCCCGTTGGCGCCGATTCGAGAATACTAAAAGCATAAATATAATATTTGCGATTTAATATCAAACATTAAATTGCCATCGATACAATAAAGCCATCAAAAGTGGACTCGACACTAATCTCTTCAAATAAAGGATATCCATAACGGTTCCCGGTTCAGTGTCGGATGATGATGTCCTGCGCAAAACTCGTTACAACTCGTCCTCAGCTCGACTCCGAAGGCGCCTTAGTCCATGTCGAAACAAATGGACGGGCTGCACTTAAGGATACTCATGGAATACATATATACGAAACAGCCAGACACAAAGTCTGCGTGGAGCACAAGAGCTGCAACAACAAAGCAAACGGAAAACAACAAAAGCTTCGATATAATAAAAATGATTTCCTCAAAGTGTAGCAGGGAAAAGCGGAAAAGTGAAATTGGCAAAAGCGCGCCACGCGAAACTCTATTAGCGAGCTAGACAAAGGAGCCTGTCCCGGTGCCACCCTGCCACACGGCTGCTTGAATAGTTTTATGATTTTTATAGCATGTGACAGCAGGATGCTAGAGCGGACGATGGGGGGGTAAGTGGAGAGGGGCGGTTACAGGATATGGCCATCAGTTGACTGCCGGCCAAAAGTTATTCCACTTGAATTTTTGTATCTGGCGACTTTTGCTCATTTGCGATAGCTTAATGGGCGACGCGACGCAAATTAAAGGCGATGTTTGATGTGGCAAGTGCATGTGGCAAGTGGAAAGTGGCAAGCGGCATAGACGGGCGGGCCGGGGTCCAAGCAATTAGGCCAAACAATTGATGTGTTTTTGTTATCGAAAACAAATGGCCAACTGAGAACCCAAATAAATGCGGCAGCTTTGCATAAGGACAAAAAGTCCTTTAAGCGCTGCGCTGCGCACAAAATTGCGTTGAAAATTACGCAGGATTAAATGCGCTGATGTCTTGTAATTGGCTTTAAAATTGTGCGGAGTCGTGAGTCAAAGTTTTAAGGACATGTCACATGTGCTGGTGTGTGTGTGTGTGGCATGTGGCATGTGGCACATGCGACACGCTAAGCTTAGCACAGAGTGTTTGCTGCTTTATCACGGCTTTCAGTTTTATACCCCCCCCCCCCCTTCCCACCACGTCTCCCTCTACGTCCCTGTTGCAAGCTCGCACTTTTTGCATATTCATTCTATTGCCACATATACTGCGAGTGTGCGTCTCTCTGTGTGTGCGTGTGTGTGTGTGTGCTACTAGTGAAAGAGTCGTAAATCTTTTGCCCAAAAGAGCGTGCAGTGCGTCGCGTCTGTCTGCATCATAAATCATATGCAGCCAAGTATCTGCTTACACACAGATACTTATGTATCTATAAGATACGCTACGTGCATCTGAGCGTAAGCAAAACAAATTTGATCATTTTTACGCTTTTGACATGTGAATTGCTTTTGGGGCAGGCAGCCAACCAAACGGCGTATCCTTCAGTAATTACACTTTGAAACGCTGTGAGACTTTGAGAGTCGGAGTCGGAGTAGAATAGTTGAATAAACTTGTGGTATTTGATATTATCTACAGAAGGTGTAAGCAAACAAGGGAATAGTATCCTAGAATAGTATTTAAGCATTTTTTTTATATATATTTATCTAAATGCTTAATATCGCTAAAGTACCAGCCAAACAGAACGGACAAGTAGTCAAAACTTCTACAATCAAAATTCTACAGCATAGTTTTAGGCGCATCAATTGTAAACAGATGCAGGTTAAGGGGGCAAAATTTGCATTGGGACAGGAGCTGCAGTTGGGCACGGCTGGAATAGGAGCATACGTATCCGTATCCTTGATAATTTTGCAAAGATTCAGTATATAGGGTTCATCAAACCTGTCTCTATAAATAAAGGTAATCTAGAAACCATCGACTTTTTTGTCCAAAGGCGACGAAGTTTTAGCAGGAAAATATGAAAATTCTGCAAATTTAAAATTCGTGTAAAAAATACAATTTTCGTTTAACCCAAATAAGTTTAAAACTTAAAATGTTTTATCTATTTAGTACAGAGCACAAGTTTTGAGGGACATTCAACATTTTAAATTTTAAATTGGAACCATATTTGTTAGAAAAAGTTTTTTGTGGTCGAGTTTGAACTCAACCATTTTTACTATAAGAAGAAGGGCAAAAATTCAGGTTTTGAAATAATTTATGTTTTTAGACACTAGCGGATCATGCCTATTAAATGGCATTAGGAACTTAAGCCAACAATTTAAGAAAAAAGAAATGGGCTACACACATCACAACTTAATCAAAAATGGGTTCAAAAATGTTATAGTTTCAACCTATGCTACAGATTTTACCGATACCAAAAAGCAAGCCCAGTTACTTTTTATTGTAAGCCCAACCTCAGAACAAACCTGTTGCACAGGTTGCACAAACCTTAAAAATGTATTACTATTTTTAATAATTTGCTGGACTAAAGGAAGTGGCAATTGGTTCGAACCGTGAACCAAACCAGCGACCATATATTCAACGGTTTGCAGCGCTGCGAAAAGGATATTTTTCAAGCTTGGCCTTAATTTATCGGAGGCATAGTTATTTTATTATTGCAATACATAGAACATTGCTTGTAAAGGAAATATCTGGCTAGAAAACTCATTCCTTAGAATATGATTTTCTTCTATTTAAAAGTAATTTATTGCTCAACCCATTTAACTCTTTCTAAGCGGAATAATATAATAGGAACTACGTTTAGTGAACACTCCGTGCCCAACTATTAATTCGGGAAATGGAATCTCGGCAATCATGACTGGCGGGCAAAACTATCTTGCGTCGACTTCAACGAGCGTCGCACCCAGGAGACAGACTGCCAATTAACAGTTACATGTTTGTACAAAATAATTGGGTTGCGTGACACGAGGATTAGCGACAGCCAGGACGAGCAGCAGGAGCAGGAGCAGGAGATGGGCTGCGCTAAATAGTAAATAAATAGAGGAGCTCTGTTTAAAACAAACAGAGAGAATGCCATACACGGCCGACTATATAATTATGAGCGTGTGCATTTATTTCTGATAGTGCGTCATCATCATCATGATTATCATAATCAACATCATCATCGCCATCAAAGTGCGCCGCAGGACAAGGGCGTTGCTAAAGTTATTAACGCGTCGTGTGGCGTCAATCAACTTGGGCCCTGGGCGCGATTTGCATGCGTGCAACAAAAGGCGGCAAGGTACGGCCCGGCAGTGAGTGTACAGCCCCGCCCGCCAAAGAAAGGCGCGTTGTTTTTTGGGCCAAAAACAAGGGAAAACGTGTGTCAGCCCAAAATCAAACAGACGGCCAAAGGATTACGATTTCTAAGGCTGCCCCAGCAGGTAGGCGGGCCGGCGGCAGGCGGCTGGTACTGAAATTTATGTTAATTTAATTGCAACACATTAAAATAGTTTCACGTCATGAAGTCCTGCAAGGAGCAGGCAGCTAAAGGGTTGCCAGCCCACCCGCCCCGCCCCACCCCACAACTCGTTCTCAGACACTTGCCGACGACAGGCGATTGATGTGATGATTTTGAGAACGTTGACTGGATGTGTGTTCCATGTGTGTGTGTGGGTAACCCATGATTGTTTGCCTTTTGCGGCTGCGGCTCCGGCTCCAGCTCCGGCGCCTTGGTTGCCATTGACAAATTTGAGGCAGCGTCTTCAGCATCCTTAATTAAGTTCCTCCGCCCCTAGATAATATCCAAGCATTTGTTTGCCCATGTGAAATGCATGAGCATCATTATCGATAGTTTCACATTTCATCGTATGGGCGTACATCAAAGGCAGACACAACAGCAACATAATAAAATTTAAATTAGAATTTTAGCCCAAAGGCGAGGTTGGGATTTCCTAGAGACGGGGCAGAGAGCGAGTCAGGAACAAGATGCTTTATTTTGCTAATAAGAAATCCACGTGAAGTGATTTTGTGCATTCTGATTATTATAATCGTTATTCTACAATCTAAAGCACGTCTTATTTAAATTATAGTATAGCCTTTGGTTTTAGTAAGTACAGTGGTCGCTCGCACATATAAACATATCACAAGTTAAATATATAAGAACTAGGATATATCATTAAAAAAAAGGTATGCAATTCAAAAATGTAATCTTTAATTTTACATTCAAAAGTGTTTTTAAAACAAACAAAAACTATAAAATAGAACATTTTATCTCTAGAAACAAGAGGCTCTAGTCGGAATTTTCGACTAGGTATACTCTGAACCTTTTTGGTGACTCTATCTCTGAAATCCTAAAAAATTGGTTTTAGATATCGGTTTGTTATTGATTGTTTGGAAAATTGGTTACATTATCAATAATCGGAAATAACAACATTTCACAAATTTTTCTTACGGATGAACAGACGGACGCACGGACAGGCAGAGAGGAGGACATGGATAGATCGACTCCACTGTTGGTGCTGATCAAGAATATATAAACTTTATGAGTTGGGAGATGCATACATTTGCATAGAAACATAACACTCTTTTTAACCATTTTCAATGGGTTCAGGGTATAAAAACAAACAAAATGTAATGCATTCAGGGAATTGATTTCTTCATAAATATAAATATATAGAAAAATCTTCAGATCTATTTGCCAATATTTCCCAGAGTATTATTTGCCCTTCTTAGCATTAAGATATTTCTAGTTTTATTTTTAATAATAAATGTTTGCTTTCATTATTTTCTATGTCTTCCATCTTCCTGCTATTAGGTCCATAATATCTCCTGGGCCTATAATTAAGTTAATTATGAAATAATTAATCATGAAATAGTGCGAAAATATGTTAATTGTTTTAATATTTAAAATAAGACGTCCATGGCAAGTAGTTAAGATACCTTACGTAGATGAGAGATACTCTTGTCTGTTCGAAATTAAACAGAAAATAGAGAAAGTAATAGAAAGGAAATATATAAAAGAAATAAGAACTATATAAAATATATAGATATTTCAATAAACTAAAATAAAAACCTAGTAAGACAAAACCCTGGAATTGCAATTGTTTAGTGAGACGGAAAGAATGCCTCTTAAAGAGCATAGCACACAATCGCACTGATACTTAGAACCGAGTGTATTCTCAGACTCTCGACTTTCATAAGTTTGGCCGCTTTGGGTAAATGTTTATTTGTGGCTGCGCAGTTTGTATTTATGGCCGAATCATGATGACAAATGTCACATGTGGCAAACACTTGAAATAGACACCAAAGCCCCTGCGAAATTACAGCAAAACTATACGAACCACCCTCCACTCTAGCTCTGGCCTGAGTTCGGCGTGGCGCAAAACATTTTGCAAATATTTTGTCAAGCTGGAAAAATAGAAATATATATGAAATATTTATAGCTCGCTCAGCACATTACACACCTAATTTCTATATTAGTTTTGTTATTGGACAATGGTCAGCGACCAGGGTCGACGAGGAGCGGGGAGTGGAGGCTGGAGGGTTTAGTGTGTTTCGTGCATATTTATATTTGTACAACTTGATTGGATTTTCGTCACGCCTCGAGCAAAACATTTGTTTGGCCATTTATCAATGCGGGCCACGGCTTTCGCCTAGCCTCAATATTTTTATAGCCTGATGCATTGGCATCCCTCGGGCAATACCTATTTATGGCCGGCTCATTAGGCGGCGTCCAAGTCTGGCAACCCGAAGGGTCCTTTGTTTGCAAAGGGTTTAAGCTTAACAAATGATTCCAATTTGCGCTGCAGCGCACAAAAGTTTATCATTATGAGGAGGGGCATGTATGGCTATTGATCACAGCTGAACATTATTTAATCGTGTGTAAATAATAGTTATAAATTTTCAATATACAATGCTGGCCATTGATCTATGGCACATTTATCAAGCCATATTGCGTCTTAGTATCTTTTGTATTCCCCTATTTCGCCGGTTTACAACTTTATCGAACATTTTCCAAGTTTTCATTAAAAACTCATAACTTTGATTTACGCACTGGCAGCTGTTGATATTCCTTTGTACTGGCTACATAATTTATGCCACTGCCAGATCTGCCTAAGATATTCCATGCAGCGGCCAACAACAATTAGAGCGCCAATAAATCGCATAAAAAACGCACACAGCATTTACACCTCATTAGAAAAACACGGCGGAAACGTGTCCTAATGGCCAATAGCTAAATAAAAGAAAGCACAAGTAGAAACTTGTCACAGGGCTGTAGCTGACTGCGCGGTTCTCTGTTCGCAGTCTAGGCCGGTTGAAGATGGTATGCTTAATTATTGCATTGTTGACCCCAAACAGACTTTCTACTCGAGCTGTCACTTTTTTAGTTACCCTAAAATCTGTGTTTATAGATCTGTGTCAATCTCAGGCTCGATCCAATGCGTCGTCCTAATATTTGGTTGATAAGCTCGATCCAAGGAGTACTTTAGGACGAGACGCTGGTTCAAACTCTGAGTTTGGACCGCCTAAAGTTGTGATTTATTTTACAGCCTTAATTAAAAAATAAGAAAATATCAATTAAAAATTTGTAGGGGCGGGGGTTGACGTGTCCTCGACATACCTTCATATGCGTATATACGAACATTTAGATGGACTGACAATGCACACCACCAATATACTCTAATTCACATTGTGAACAGAGTATAAAAAGGAAACAAAATTTACAGCTAACAAAAAATATGCTGGACACGCTACAAATGGGGGCAAATTTGTGGGGTTAGTGAATGGTCGTGGCGCATTTTATGGCTTCGAAATGCTATATCTTTGGTCGGCTCGTTGGCTCGTTGGCTGGTTGGCAGCGTGGTGTTAACATGTAAACGCCGTCGCTAATCCCCGTGCCACGAAAATAGCGGCCCACATTTAAAAGTCAGAGCGTGGCGAATGTGGCAAGTGTGCGGGAAAACCGAGCTGGGTGCGGGGGTGCCAACGGACTCTCGGGGTTTGGCCTGGCCGACAAGTTTATGTTTTTGATTTGCATTTGAAGTGGCAGTCAAAGCCACTTGGCAGTCGCTGTCAAAAGCGGCTGATTTATGTGTGTTTGCGAGCGTCAGGTACAGAAGCTGAAAGCTGCTCTCTGATCTGTGCATAAAGCGTATAATTTATGCCAATTTAATTGAATGCGCCGCGTATGAACAGACTGCTCGACCCTGCTCCCTGGAGAGCTGGCTAAACAGCGGCCAAGACAATTGCAAATGAATGAATGAATATATATGAATTGCAAATGAGTATATTCACAAAAGTTAAATTGAATTTGTTGCTCATTAAAATGAGCGCCACTTTCGCTGGTTGCAAATCAATTGTGACGCGCGGGTGGGAGGTACGCCGACCTGGAAAACCACTTAACCACACACACGCCACGCCCACTAACACACACACACACACACACGCACGCACAGCTGTTGTGTAACAGCCGCCATTTTGGTTAGCCGCAGTCGACGGCGACACGTTTACGTTGACGCCTCATGGCCATAATTAAGGTTATAATTTCTCGAAATGATGTGTAGAAACCCTTTCAAAAACCAGTTACACATATGCACACAGGCTGGAGCTGGGCGTGTTTCGTGTCTTCTTGCGTGACACGAACACGCAAATAACACGCGTGTTTGTGTTCATATTAATAAAAATGAATAACACAACAATTTTGGGAATTAGAGTTTAAAATCAGGCTAAAGAAATTATATTACCTTACAGCTAAGCAAATATTTAAATCTAACATTAATTTAAGTAGCTCATAATAATAAAATAAATAAAATATTTCAACTACAAAGTTAGCATACAAAAGATTATAGGATATGCCCGTGCTACCTACAATAAGATTTTTCTCATATGTGATATGCGTTTTTGCTGAGTTAAGTTAGGATAGCTCGAAGACCAAAAAATTAACTATTCCAAGAACTCAATACTCATCTGTTTATGCAGAAGGCAACTTAATGATATAGTTATATGATTTACCAGAATCTGAAATATGTACTGCCTGCAACAACAACTATGCAAATTTGACACTGAGCAAGATTATATATAATTTATGGATTGACAGATATCTGCTTAAAATTGAAAGCGATAGATCAAATTTCGTTCGCATAATCAAAATATTAAATTGAAGACAAATATGTAAAAACAAATTTTGAACGTATTCATGCATCTTGTGACGCATAGTTTGTGTTAATATCGTGTTGGATAAATCCCACACGTGCCCATCTTTAACAGATACACGTATGTAGAAAGACACGCTCGTATTTATGGGCTTCTAAGCGAGGGCCATAGATCTATTTTTGTTCGCCAAATCAAAATATAAAGCAAAGACAAAAATGTAGAAAAAAATATAAAAATATATATACAGTTTTTGAAAAATTCGTGCGTCTCTTGACGCATAGCTTGTGTTCGTATCGCGTTGGAAAAATCCCACACGTGCCCATCTCTAGCTGATACACGTACACGCACGACAGCTGTCCTCGTTGCAGCTTCACTTGGACGCCGGCTCCATCATATTTTAATGGCCTTATGGCAGTTACGCTTGTGCGTTATCATCTGCTTTTGCCCGGGCGATCATTGCGTCATGTGCCCAACGCTAGCCCCACTCCTCCAACTCCAACCCCAACCCCGACTCCTGCCAGCGCCAGCTTCAGCCCAACCCCAACTTTGCGCTTTGGCTGAGCATGAATTTTAATTATTTGAACGACTTTCCGTTGATATTTGAATATTGTGCTGCGTTGCTGTGGCAAAGAGAGCAGTTAATTTCATTAATAAATATTTATGGTTGCCGTTAAGCCTTTTTCCGGGTGGGCGTGGCGCTGTAATTTATAGCATCCCCTGTTAACTCCTTGACTCGTTTTCGATTTCAATTTCAATTTCAATTTGTGTCTCAGGGCCATCGCTCATGGTCAATGCTAAGAGTTGAAAACCTCAGCATGGCTAAACAGAATTACGTGCTCCGGTATTTTTATTTTTTTGCCTTTTCTCTATATTCCTTTTATTGTGAACTGCAACAGGACATCCATCCACACACACATGAGAACCCAACCAGAGGCGGCTCGTTAGCCCGCCAATTGATTGATGATCAAATTGAGGCATGTCTCGACGGAATGTCGAGTCAGTGTCAGTCAGAACAAAGCAGCGCGCATAGAAAAGCACTTATCACACCTCTTGCTGCTGCTCCACCCGCTTCCGCTCCCGCTGCTGCTGCTGCTGCGGCTGCCCCCTGGCCAACTCTTGCTAACTTACCTGACAGCTGCAGTGGCAAGTGGGATCAAATCAGCGCTGGGATTTCAACTGCGACTTTAAACACACTCACACACACACAAATAACAGGCACGTACTCTTCTGCTACCATTTTCCGGGTACAGTCAACCCGTCCAACTATGCGACATGTTGTGTAGGAAAAACCACCCGCTGAAAACTTGCGCATCATCAGCCGTGCGTGGCTGTCTCTCTTTTAAGTCCTTCTGGCAACACGGAGATTAACTCAAATTTGTGGCGCCACAATAAATTTCACGGCCTGGAATTAAAAATTAAGCGTCGTCACAAAACGAGTTGCAACTTGGTTTTTGCTCGGGGACTCTTTTGCCAGACAGCCCTTTTTCTAATTACACTGCGCTACATAACAGGGTAACTGAAAGATAGCAATATTATTAGTTACTTATTAGATAAGTTAAAATACCAAATGCCCTTAGATATTACTATCTACTATGGCCTTCGGCTGGGGCAAAACAATTACTACCCTATCCTGAAAAGCGAACCTTTGTAATCCATCTAATAAGTATAAAAAGAGATTGTTTATTTATTTTATTGATCAGGAAGTCGGGCTGAACCGATCTAGACATATTCGTCTGAGTTGTCCTTCTGTGTGAGCGCGTCGATCTCTGAAACTATAATTATAATTCTTAATTATATACTCTCGTATGTTATGAGCCGAGGGACTATATCATATTTGTCTGATATTTTTTGATGGTAGTGTCATTTTTGTACATTCAGCACTTAAGATTTCTAAAAGCATGACAAAGTAAATTAAATACTCTTGTAGAATTTATGTTGATCCGAATTCAATAAGACTTGGGAGAAACATAATGAAACTAATAAATCCCGACTTTGGTCAAGCTATATTTACAAGTCAAAACATTTTTTTTAAAAAATAACTTAATTTTCGACAGATCGTTCCAATAGGACGGACATGACTTTATCGACTTGGCTGTTGGTGATGGATAAAAGTTGTTAAGAAATCGATATATGAACTTAACTTCAAAATGTCTCCTACTGTCTGTCCTTCTCTTTGCCTGATTTCGCCGTAAATATTTTATTACATTGGAGAAATAATTTAATAATATCTTTTTATTATACAAATATGCAATACAAATGATCAAAAATTCTTCAAATTTGTATATTCTTATACGTTCTTGGGGCGAATAAGCATTTTAACTGCTTTGTTAGAGTACGGCCCACGAAAATGTATGCCGTCTAGCGGCTTAATGTCGGCTTTATGATAATATCGTCCATTTAGATTACTGGAAATTAAAAAGATTGTTAATATTAAATATTTTAAATTATTAAAATTAAGTTGCTTACTTTCCAATTATTGGGCCTTCATAATACCAGTAGCCACCATGATAATTTTTTGACAAATTTTTATTACTATTCTCCCGGTCGTAGGTCGAGAATTCGTTATTAGTATTATTATACAGTTCTTCGCCAGTACCAGTAATGTTACCAAGACTTTTGAGCTTGTAATTTTCCGTTTCGCTACCAATATAAAAATTATCATACCGAGCCCAGACAACCTCATTGTGGAAACTATGTGTAATTATATATAGTTCATGGCGTTGGAAAGTGGTCATGTGATAAATATTTTCCAGTCCGATAAAAAACTCTGTATCCAGGCTGCCAAAACCTGTTCGGTATTCAGCCCAATTTCTATAAAAGTCGACAGAGCCATCGTATCTACTTTGAATTACAGTCCAGCCGGGACCAGCTGTTTTACCATCGCAGAGAACGCGAAAAGGACTTACACCGACCAAGTGAAGGGTTTTAATGCCTGTATGAAAGCCAAAAGGAATACAGCTGTTGGCTTTCGGTTCCTCAATTCTTGGAGTAGTGGTCGAAATTTGATTTACAGTTTGCTTCGCCAGTTGAGCTCGACACAATGTCAGCTGGTTTTCAAAAGAGTTCCCGTTTTGATCATAATTATTAACCATTATCTTAAGAATGTCGGCAGTACTCTGTAAGTGTGTTAAAGTCTGTTGTAGATCCACATCAGATTGAGGGCAGCTGTTTGTGCACTCTCTATTTTGTAGCAACACGTTCGCTTTCCTTAAAAAATTAATAATCCCATCTTTATACAGATCCTCCGACAGTTTCAATTCAATATAAACTAGTTTTTGTTCCAGCTGTACCTTAAGGCGTTCCTGCACTTGCAACTGCTCAAAACTCTATAAAAATCCTTTAGTCACATCTTATTTTTAATCCTATCATATCATAGTTCCAATTACCATATCCTGACCGCTGTTGGCTCCCAGCAACGATGCCAACGTGGCAAATATCATCATGAAATTCATTTTTCACACTTCAACTCGAAAACAGTCAGCTTGCACAGCTATTCCTCCACAGAGCTGAAACAGAACTGTAGCTAGAAATCTTCTCTGTGCTTATACAAAAGGTTGGATCTAATGTGATTCGATTGGGAGTATTAAACTGTAGCTGAAACTGGGCGAATCATATTTCATAAAACTTCAAATCAATTCTCCACATGTTTTCGCCAGCCGATGATCCTCACTTTAATCATTGCCGATCCAGCACTCCTCCGATGCTGATACCGGGATCTCGAGCGACTTTTCTTTCTTTTCTTCCTGTTTTTGTCGATTGTTTTACTTTGTTTCTTGGTCAACGAAATTCATCTCCCGAATCTATTGTGAATGGGTAAAGAACGCGTTTCCCACCCCGTTAGGTATATAAACTTATTTCTTATAGTCCAAGGTACTCGACGATTTTTATGTTTAAACTAAAAAGCTTGCTAGAAAAAGATGCAGGAAAACTCTTACAACTCGTTCTTCTCATTTCATGCTGCACAGTGTAGCTGTTGCCAACTTTTCTAGTAAGTTTTTTGTTTTTTCCACCATAAATTTTACCTGAACTGTTGTTGTTACGCCTCTGCATATGTCTGATGTTAAATTTATGTGTGGATAGTCACAGATCTCTTGCTGCTCGGGTGATTAGGACAAACTTGCAGATTGTCTGTACGCATTTTTGTCGAATTGAATCAGTCGAGTGAATTTATAGGCCTAGACAGCAACAGCTTCCTTATAGCGCCCATTCCCACGACCCGGCACTGTTTTTGTCGATCAACCCCCGCGGCGGCTGCAAATCTAATAAAAAATCCATTTGGGAAAATGTGGCAATTTTTTCCTCATATTTCAGCGTGTTTTACAACAGAAAAAAACAAATTACAAAATGTGAAATAAAGGGCATATTTTTCACGTTTATGTTGATGGAAAAGAACACAGGCCAGCTGGCCACGCCCACAAGGCGGACTACCCGCTGCTGCATGTGACCATTTACCCTTATTAGAGGACGCACTTTGCATTGCTTTCAAATATATATATGTATATATATCTGTATATTTTTTAATTTCATAGAAAATTTACATAATTTATGGCCAGCAACAAAAGTCACACGCAGCATATGCGCGCGTTCTTTTTTTTATTAAAAAATTTGTTTATAATTTACGATTTTTTAAACTGCGCGCCATTTTTTTTTTTTTGTGGCGCCACAAACAAATGAGGCGCAAATTATACGAATGAGCGTGTCTTAATTTGGGTTTAGTTTTTTTTTTCTGTATTTTGAGCTTGACTTTTGCGCTGGTTCATTAAGAGCTCATTAAAATCAGCAGGACAACAAGTTGATGCTGAACATTTTGACACGTTTTTAATTTTAATGCACTTTATGGTCCTTTAACGATGTCGCTGGAAAGTTGAGTCCGCCCTTAACCCTTAGCCCGGCTGACTTTCACTTGTTGACGTTGACAGACTGAACACCCAACCGCCATCGCCATCGCATCCGTATCCGAATCGTATCCGTAAACTCATCCTGCTACACATCATGTCAAACTTCATTAGTAACTGCTTTTCGGCTGCGGCAAGGGTGCAACAGCCCTTACCCACGGCAGGCGGTTCGGGGCAGGACTCGACTGCGCGACACTTTGCGGTCTCCCGCTCATTGTTTTTATGGTTCTCGCTAATTAGTTACGAAGTCGTTGAATTTTACAGAAATTACAGCGTTGAAAGTTATTGTCATGTTGATGGCACTCAAGTGGCGCCAGCGGGCGTGGCTGCAACAGACAGTTGATGACTGCATCAACTGCATGTTTGCGCTTTATATATCACACTCAAAAAAAATGTTACCTACATTTCTGAAAACATACATTACGGAACATTTTCTTATTTGATATGTTTCAATTTTTGAACTTGAAATATATATAAAAAAAAAATCGGCTTAAAAATATAATTTTTTTTTAAAATCAAAAAATTTGATTTTTCTACATTTCCTAATATTTAGAAAAGTAACTATACATACATTTTTCTTAAATTTCAAAAAAGTTTTTTCTTATTTTACATGTTCCAATGTTTTAAACATAAATGTTTTAAAATTACCATTAAAAGATGCAAATTTTTTCTCTTACTTTATTATTATCTTACTTTATTTAAAAAAAAAACTAAAAATATAAATATTAGAAAATATTTTTTTATTTACCCAAAAAGTTATTGTTATAATTTTCGAATATTTTAGAACTCTTTTTCTGAAAAAACTTTCAAAACTTTCTTCTTTTCAGACATTTTATTATTTAAAAAGAAATATAAGTTTTAAGAATTTTTTAAGTAGGGCGAATCAGGCCTTACATCAAAGTGAATTTTTAAATTTTGCGGGGTGTTTTTGTTTGAGTGTAAAATCGTGAGTGTGAGTGTGTATGTGTAACACTCAAAAAAAAAGTTACCTACATATTTAAATTGAAAATTGCTCGAAATTCCATAAAAATGTTCTCATTTTACATGTTCCAATATTTTGAACCTATAATTATAAATTTAAAGAAAATACACTTATTTAAGAATTACAAAAAGCATCAAGTGCTTTTAAATATAGGTCGATTTTTCTGCTGTTAAGACATAACATTCCAGTTTTCATACGTTTTTTTATAAAAAATTATTAATTGTTTTTAGGAATATATTTTTGTAAATAGGGAGAACCCCGATTCGGCCCGATAGGGCCCGATTTCAAAGGCGAATTTTTAAATATTAGGGCGACTTAGGGCTGCTTTTTTCCAACATGTACAGATTTGCGGGCATCTTCAGATGGGCCACAAATTAATCAACAGGCACACAACTGACCGCTGGCCAAAACGCGTATCTAAGAGCAGCTCAGCCAATTACACAAAACTCATTTAAATAAAGTGAAAGTGGGCAGACATTCTTAGAATAAGATGTTGGCCATAAATCTGCTGGCTTAGCGTTAAGAAGCACACGGCACAATTATGCAGACAGCCGACACAAAAGGGGTTAGGGCTTCGAAAGGGGACATTCGACGCTTGGTTTTGTGAAATTACCAAAAATACAACGCTCCGCTGTTATAAATCAAAGTCACGGGCTTTGTGTTTTGGATTTGCCCAAAAGGAATTTGTAGCCAGCCAAAGCAGTGCAAGCAACCCCCCTACCCCCCACCCATCCGTAATCCAATTGCCCAAAAATTCCCAGTTGCCGCCTTCCGTTTCCTGTTGCTTCTCGACGGCCGCATTGTTGTTTGCCATTTGAATAAAGTTGGAGCATGTTTTGTACATAAGCAAAATAAGTGGCGCTGACATGTTAAGACTTCATCCAAAGATTTATTTGCCACAATGTGGCGCAACTCCAACTGCGGGTGCCAATTTAAAAAATTGAATTCCCCCCAATGCGGCTCGTTTGTCCCGGCTAATCATGCGTCGTCCATTTCAGGCGTTCTGTCACCAAAATCTTGGACACATGCCGCAAATCCTGCGACAGCAAAATTGCATGGCCTAATGCGATTATTTGTTGTTGTTCGAAAACAACACAGATGAAAACCATTTGCCACTTGACGATGCCCAAAAACTTTTGATTAAATTGGATTGCAAATACTCATAACTGTCACACATGCCACGACGAGTGTTGACAATGTTTGACAGCTAACAAAAGAACAAAAAAAACTGAAAATCAGCCTAGGAACCACCCAAAAATGCTCTGCAATTTTTCAATAAACTCATCAAAGCGCCGGCTTTGAACCCTCGACCATGTCCTGCGGCTACTCGTAAACGCAATTTGATTTATGAACAATGCCCAAATTGAAAATTGTCCCATGGTCACTTTAATTTTTGAGTTATGCGACTTTAAACTACACACCCGCACGGGGGATGACATTCCGGGCACGCACGTTTGCACGTTTGCCGGAAGTGAATTATGTTGTGTGTCTGTATGTGTTTTTTTGTGAGGTTATGTAATGATGACACTGACATTAAACAACAAACGGTACAGTTAGTTGGCAACGCCAAAGTGCGTCAACTGTACTTTCCAGCGACGGCGTGTGAAAAACAAAATGCCACGCGCCGCTTGTTAGCCGCTCGACTCCCAGTTAAAGTTAAAGAGCATTTGGCAGGAAGCAAAGCGAAGCCATCGCAGCAACCCTCATGACCAGCTCTCCAAATCCGCTGTGCTCATATAATGTTGTTGATTGTTGAAGTGCCTCGATGGTTTTAGTGTCAGCTTATAGTTTTGACAGATCAGTGTGGCTGGTGCTGATGGCTGATGACTATCGGACAAGTCCTGCTGCTGGCTGCTGCTGCTGCGTTGAAGTGTGAATTATGCTCTGCGAACTGCCCCACCCCAGAACTATTTTCATTAGTCGCTGCTCATATTCATTTGCATAAATTACTGGACACACACATTCCACACATTTCTGGGGCGAACTTTCACACTCGACGGAAAACCCTTTGCTCGAAATGGCTCGAACTAGAACATTCCGTCGGCACTTTGATCAGTTGCGCAATTATGCGAAATTGTTTTTTAATTAAAATATAGTCGGAAATATGTGCCACGTATCCTTTGCCCAGCAGCCCCACTCGAAATTGGCCACTTTCATGGCTGCCTGCACCTGCTGCGGCACACAATTAAAATCCGAAAATCCAACACCGCAACTCAAACTGACCGAACTTTTTATGGCGCTGTCATTTGATTCCAGTGCTTTTTCAGGGGGGTTGGGGAAATGTATTTTTCATGGCTTTTCAATTTTAATTGAAATTTATGCGCACGTCCCGTTAAGGGGTTGGCCAGTGTTGGGCTGGCCACGTGCTCGCCAAAAGTGTTGCAAATGGTTGGAAAATTTTGAGTTTTTTGTTGTTGTTGTTGTTGGAAATTTACATGCACATTTGGGGCCGGGCACGCCCACCTTGATTTATGGGTCGCACTTTTGTTATTTATGTGCCGCGCACTTGAGTTCGCCGGCGGGGAAAATTGCATGCAAAACATTTTGTTATTGCGGCCCGCCATTTTATTGTAATGCTGTGTGTTCATGTGTAAAATTTGAAATTGTTGTAAATAATTACCCTAATGGCTGGCTGGCACCCAGTCCCAGCTCCGACCGGCCCAACCCCGGGTACAGTTGCGACCAGCAGTTAATTTGTGAGCCAGCATCGTCGCCATTTGTAATTAAGCTTAAACCGTTAATATTTTAGCCAGATAAGAGGCAATACCAATGGCTGCCAGAGTATCCCTTGCCCAGAACTCGCCATAGATTTATGTGAGTGCCAAGGCAAAAGTTCTACGTCCTCCGCCAAAAACTCAGCCAAATTGTTGGAAAAACATTTCACGGTTCGGCGAAAGCTAAAATCCTCCGCCCTGGGTGTTAATTTGGATCCAGATTCTTTTCTTTTTTTTTCTTATCTACATCGCGCTTTCGCCCAACGAAAATGAAAACGAAAACTCGTTTGTTGTTTGTGTTTATTTTGTAAGCGCAGGAATTTAATTAGCCTGCCAAGTCGTTAACAAGATTCAAAAAGCCAGTAAGTTATGCATACGATTCAATAGGTAGAGGAGAGGAGTTTAATGAAGAGTATATCAAGAGCCAGCAAATATGCGTACTCATCAAATATTGCTTTATTAGGAAGTCAGATGGAAACTAACTGAGAAAAATATATTAATTATGAATTTTTAACTGAGGTTTTCAAGGCTAGAGCCACATATTGTGGCACTTGGAAAAGTAAATATTCATATTATAAGGCAAATGAAGAAATATTGAATGACGATTCTAAGAACAGAACACTCCACTTAAAATTTATAAAAAAAATAAATAAAATAGATTAGCACTACTTTTTTTTTTTCCCAAAATAATGAAGATCGTTTGGATAATATGAAAAAATTGTTGTTGCTCAGTTAATACATATTGTAAAATCTTTACACAAATGCTGGTTTTGGCGACCTTTCCATATTATAAATATTTGTTTGGCTGGCTCTTTACACAAATTTATTTTGATTTTATAAATTTGAGCAACGGAAATTTTCTCAAATTGTAAAAATTTAACTCCAAGGTCTATAGACAAATTTGTTTGGTACTAAATGACCTTTCCACATGTTCTATAGTTATCAAATCTATGATATAGATATATTTTCGACAACTCAAACAAAAATTTAAATAAATAAAGAATGAGTATATTTATGTAACTAGAAAAATAATAAACGAGAAAGAAGGGCTATCTTCAGCACGCCGACGATTTAATACCCTTGCAGACCCAACCTTTTCATAATGCTCATAGGGCTTTTCCCGTATTTAAGCAGCACAGGGAAAATAGTAAATGCCGAGTATGGTTAAGATATCTTGAAAAACAAAATGCTTTAATACAACTTAATTTTTGACCTATAATTCCTATGGAAGCTATATGATATAGTAGTCCGATGAAAATAAGATTTTGCATAAATGTAAGAAACAAAGTGAAACTTATAAATGTCGAGTTTGGTCAAGATATCTAGAAAAACAAAATGGTTTTTAATACAACTTAATTTTCGCCTGATCACTTCTATGGCAGCTATATGATATAGTGGTCCGATCCAGCCGGTTCCGACATAAGTACTGCGTGCAACAGAAAGAGGACCTTCTGCAAATTTTTATGACGATAGCTTTAAAATTGAGAGACTAGTTCGCATAGAAACAGACAGACGGACAGACGGACATGGCTATAGTGACTCGACTGTTGATACTGATCAAGAATATATATACTTTATGGGGTCAGATACGTCTCCTTCTATGCGTTACACATTGCACGACAAAATTATAATACCGTCTGTATCCTCGGCATGCAGAAGATTAAATACCCTTGTGGACATTTTCCTTTAGCAGATATTCAAATGCTGAGTTTGATGAAATTGTCATGGAAAACAGAATAATTTGCCATATAAGAATCTATTCTCGACCTATCGTTCCTATGGTATATATATGAAGAGCAGAGGAGCTAATAAATGCTGAGTTTGGTCAAAATATCTTAAAAGAACAAAAAAGTTTACCATATACCTTTCTACCGATCGTTCCTATGGCAGCTATATCATATAGCTGGACATATGTACTGCCTGCTGTTTGTGTTGCAAGACGGACCTATGCAAAGTTTCATGGCGATAGCTGTAAAAACGGACAGAGACACGGCTATATCAACTCGGCTTTTGAAGCTGATCTAGAATTACTTTATGGGACCAAGATGTCTTCTTGTATGCGTTACACATCTCATCACAAATTTATAATACCCTCTACAAGGGCATAAAAACCCTATAATTTTATTGATCGCTATGTTTTCTTTTTTAGAAATGATTATTATAAGCTACTTCTATTAGTTAGCTAATGTATGAATAAATAAATCAAAAATAAAACAATAAGAGGTTCAAGTCGGGAGCTCCCGACTAGAGGACATCCTGAACCGTCTTCTTCCAACAGGCGATAGGTATAAAATGAAAGATACTTGATATATATATACTATTCTAGAAGCTACATGTCAAGTTTAGTGATTTTATCTTTTGTTGTTTACCAAAATTGCTCAAAAAAGAGGATTTCGATATCGATTTTTATCGATTACGTGGAAACGGGGCAAGTTATCGTTCAGCTAAAATTTCAAGTCTCTAGCTCTTATAGGTTCTGAGATCCTTGCGTTCATACATACAGACGGACGGAAGGACAGACAGACGGACATGGCTAGATCGACTCGGCTGTTGATGCTGATCAAGAATATATATACTTTATGGGGTCGGAGATGCTTCCTTCTGCCTGTTACATACATTTTCACAAATACATAATACCCTTTTTACCCATTTTCAATGGGTTCAGGGTATAAATATACGAAATAGAGAACATTTTCTATAAGATATTTTTTATACCGGTTTTTGAAAGTCACTCTATATGAAACTTACTCTTGCAAATCCTGGCATTATAAAACATAATTTGTAAATATAATAAATAATCTGGTTACAGATAAATTCATATTATTGTTTTAATATTTATTTTAAAGATAACTTATAAAATTTTTATATAAAATCATTAAATGTTTATGCATAAATAGTTTCATACAATTTTAATATCTATTGTAGGTTTAAACTTGCTTGTAGGTTTACTTGTAGGTTATTACTTATTTATAAAACCTATTTCAACTATGTAAAACTTATTTTCACAACAACTTAACCAATGTGAATATCTGCAAATATAAATAAAATGTAAAAATAAGTTTAGTTAGCTTTGACTGATTATGACTCACTATTATGATGAATGTTTATGTTGATCTTTGGCAACCTGATGGGAAACGGTTTTGCTCTCCGTTTTGGTGCCGCAAAAACATCGCTGAGGCATAAAAACAGCAAAAGCCACTCGAACTTGAAGTACTTCATTGAAATTTCGGGTAAACGTATAAAAAATACAGATTAATTAGTTAAGAACATTAGCTGTCAGAGCTTCTTGGGAGACTGAATCATATGCAGCTAAGCGAGAATCTTAAATAGATTGAGAATCTTTCAAAAATTAAATTCTCATCTGTTATCATCTTGGAATTAACGATGAGCGTGCTCATAATCAATAGCAAGAAAGAGAAAGTAAACCCCCTGAAAGCTGACAGAAAAAAACCCAGTGTCTTAACCCATTGAGCACCCAAGGGTTCGTTTGTCAACTACTCAATGCATAGACTAATATAAACATGCATAAATTGCATTATAAGCGACCTAAACAAAAGATTTAAGTGCTCAAATGTGTACTCAATGCCTGAAAACAACCATTGAGGCTGTTCGCCCCTCGCCCCTCGCTACTCGCTACTCGCCCCTCTGCGTTAAATAACCATAACTATTCATTATCGACATATAAGCGTTGTTACGGCCCCTGTCGAAGTGCTCATAACTTCAGATTTTTATTAAATAAACGGAACAAAACAAACCCAGGCAAAATGTCACACACATACTAGTGGGAAAAAAAGGAATCCGGGAGAGTGTGTGAGGGGAGGGGGCAGACAGTGGCACATATGCACGGGCATCCTTTTGACCCACAAAATTGAATATATGAAATGCATGTGGCTGAACCCTTTTTTCGTGCCATCCAAAGACCTACATGTATGCTACATTCTATATCCTGCGTAATTCAATATTTAACTATATGAGATTTATGGCCACAGGGTCTAGCGAGGACTTCCGGTTCTTGCGCGACACGACCAGGACGAGCACGAGGACGAGAACGAGAACGAGGACAACGGCATCGTTTTATTTGTATAAAGTATAATTTTTGATTTAGTGCGATTTTTGTGTCAACGCATTGCGCGTATCCTGAGACCCGGGGTGTTCAGCAAAGGGTTAACGCAATAGTTTTGCAATATCCAATATGCCAAAGTGAAAATACGTTTGTTTGCATTGGCCTTTGATGGCGGATATGAGACCACATGCTGATTGTTATTGTCCCAGTGCCGGGCGGGTGGTTTCGGCTTGAGGATGCGACAAAAAACAACAGCGATTATTGCGCTGTTGTTGCTTTTGAGAGGCGCTCTAAGAACGTTTATTTGGGTTTTCACGCTTTTCAGCAATAAATGTGAAGACAACAAGTAAAAGTAGCTAACTATAAGATACGCTTAACCCAGCTCTCAGTGGCTGCAACATACATTCAGGAAAAAAAAACAACCGGAAAACGCACTTGAAATCAAAACTAAGACAATTCGGCATATTTTTTAGAAAAACATTTCAATGCCTTAGAAGTATCTGAATTTATAGACTCTTTTCATAATAATCTCAGATCAATAAACCTGGGTTATAAATCGAAATTGATCAAATATATTAATCTACAGTTCTCTCGATGGCTTATAAGCTTAATGAAATTTGGCTACACTAGCTCTTATAATAGCTCAAATTAAAGCGTTAATATAAGTGGACTGATGGATAAGACTCGATCGTCTTGCCTGTGGATGATAACCAACCATATGGGATCGTCGATGCCTTATTATGCTGTTAAATTCATATGCCTATTATACCCTTTTTACCCATTTTCAATGGGTATTAGCTATAAAGACAGCAACAAACCAACATTGATAGCGGCTTGCACGTAAAAATTTATTTTTATTATTATGTAAAATATATCCGACAGGAGCAGACGGTGAAAAGTCAAAAATTCAATAGATGCATGGTTGGCAACAAATTGCTTTGTTTGTCGACCTCCATTGAATACGCGCGGGAATTAGTTGAGAGGTCGCGCCCACGCGCTTATCACGAGGGGTTGTCAGCGACAGGATGCAAATGCCGTCGATAAGGCGTTAAAAATGTTTAGCAAAAGCCAATTTGCTGAGCCAAACAGAATTTGCATATGACTGTGCTATATGCTTCCTATGCTGGGAGCTGGGAAGCTGCTCAAAGAAGTGTGTAATCAAAGGGTTGCGTACGGCCGGAAGCAAAGGGCGAGAAAATTTATTACAGGTTGCATTAAATTTAATTTGAAGCGTGCGCGGAAATTTCAAAATGTAACGCCTGTTCGATTTAAAGCTATTTTGTGCTCTTGATTGGCTCACCTTGCTCTTTCTCCCACCAACACATATCCCCGTCATTGGCGCCCCTTCATCTCCTCGATTTGCTTGAGCAGCAGCTGCATGCGATCCTTCATCAGGGGCTGGCCGCGCTGGGTGCGCTTGCTGATGGCTTTGGTCTTTTCCAGGCGCTGCTTCTTGTATGCCTTGATGCGTGCCTCCTTTTCAGCATTGATCTTGTCACGCTCCGCCTGCGCTTCGGCAGCCTTCTGCTGGCGTATCATTTTACGTATTTCCGGCTTGTTGGGTTTGTTGTCCTAATAAAAACAAATGCGATTTATCTTCTTTGTCAGCCTGTTGCTCCACTTTAAAAAAACTATTACCTGCTTCTTTTGCTTGTATTTTTGCTTAAAATTGGGCTTTTGCTTTTGATCAGCTTTGGTAGGCTTTTTATTAAATTTGCCAGTGTTTTTCTGCGGTTTTGGTTTCATTTTTTGCAACTAAAAAAATTGTAAACAAAACGACACGTGCGAGCAACAGCTGTTATGCCAATAATGCTGAGATTACTAGTATTTTATCGCTTTACAACACTCTTTTAACATAACATATCGGTAATCGTTCCAATGTTAGATTTCTAAATGTGGTATTATTTTGGTATATTCTGTTTATTATTTAGGCATTTATGCATTTGCCGCTCGCGTGGGCACTAGGCAAAACATATTTTATTTACTTTGCGTCGCGATGAGTTTGGCCGCAATTAAACAAAAGGAAACGAAAGGCAAAAAAAATGTATTGCCCAAGCTGCGCACCATATTGGCCAATCCATATAAACAGCACAGGTTAGCCCCAATTTTAATTTTTGCAGCAAACTAAGCAACTGAATCTTTTATAGTCCCATATTGCCAGACAATGAGGTGCTTGAGCTACAAACAATATTAAAAACGGCCATTACCGAAAGTGAACATACACAGCAAACATTTGCCACACAAACCCACATACAGCTTGGCCTGGGGAGCTCACTACGCGCCATAAACGCAAGGCGCTTCTCTTGCGTTTTTATTTCACTAAGCTTAAGACCCTCCCACATTGTGCGTCTGATTGCAACCACAGCTGCTGTCAAAGTTCCAACGGCTCCCATTTACGCGCAACCCAAATTGGAGGAACTGACACATGGACTATTTGGCGTGCGAGCGCTGGCACTGGTACTGCCGCTGGACTTAAATGGCATCAGCTCTGAGTTGGCCAAATGGGTGAATGCACGGAGGAAACCTCTAGTCCCAAAAAGAGTAACACTTGTGTCAGCAAAATCTAATAGAAAACGGAAGTCGCAGGACCCAGTTCTAAAAAAGAGATCGATTGAGCCACAAAAGGCAACGCCAACAGCTGAAAAGGAATGGAGCGGGGATTACATATCCTGCTCAAATGAGAGAGGCATCTTAAAGCTCGACCAAGTGGATGTGAAGGCAGAAATGAAACAATTAAGCGCTGCGCTAAGCAAACTCGTCCAGGAAAACCAAAACAAGGATGAAGAAACTGTAAAGGAAACAAGCCCAAAAGAAAAAGCAGCGCTGTCAACTATCGAACCGATGGATATAGAAACAACCGATACATTCGAGGACGATGAATTTCTGCATACAGACCTGGCAAATTATCAGCCGCTCATTGTAAATCAGATCCGTTCGAATCCTGACAAAAAACCCAAAAAGAAACGCAACAAAAGCAAAAAGCAAAAAAGCCAACCGCCACAAAAGAAAAGCAACTGATGGTTGGCAACGCGATGCCAACAGCTGTTTTAGTTTAAGGTTATGTAGCGTTTTTTTTATTGTTATCGTAATTTTAAAAGGCCGCACAAAATGCTGCGAGGCATACGGCAAATATCAAGACTACGGAAATTTGTGACGGCTCCGGCATGCATTTTACTCAACCCAACAGCTGCCACAAGTGCAACAACAGTAGGCAAACAAGCGCCACTGCACACCAGTCGAATTGCGCATAAATATGACAAAAAATCTTCGCGGTCGAGGGACGACATTGACTCGGATGATGAAGTAGATGCAGAGTTTAAGGATGAACGTGATTCGAAGGTGGTTAAGACCAAAGTAAACTCGTTGCGTGCGGATTTGCTACTAAAAGCCGGACTTGGCATGGCCAGAAAGTGAGTGCCTCAGTCAACAGCTAACCGCTGTCATACTAATACACCCATAAATTGCAGCAAAGTGGAGCTTAATTTCTATGAAAGCAAAATCCGTGTAAACGGGAAGAAGTTATTGAAAAAGAGCGTGCAGGTGAGCTGAGCTCAGGCAGCAAAAACTTTTCATCAAGTAATGTTTTTTAATCTATTACAGCTTGACGTGGGCGATGAGATTGATGTAATACGCGGTTTCAGCCAGACTAATCCCTCACATCTGGTTATCTCACGTGTCGTTATACTCTCTGCCGGCGAGCATGACGAGGGTCTCAGCGTACACCTGCGCCGTTACAAATCGCTGCTCATTGACAACTATAGCAACCCCAATGCCTACAAATCCTCGGAACCCATTGCACACTAGTCGTATTGCTGTTGTCTGAATAAATCGCTGACACCAATAGCCAAGCAATGTTTACAATCAAAAATTTTGTACGCGTAGCTTTATGTGGCAGGCCTGTATTTACATATATACATGACTACATTAGTTACTCAATGAACTCGCGCATGCTTATCAGCTGCGATTTACGTCGTTACCAGATGCGGCATTTGTCCGCTATCGGATTCATTGGGCTGCCGCGCTGGCAGTTATATGCCTGTGCGAAGTCCTCGTTATTGGTGACGGCGCCAAGCACTCTGTACTTGTCCATGGCATGCTCATTGGTCAATTCCTCCCAATAGTGCCTCTCCTCGTAGTCGGAGCACCAGAGCTGGGCAAAGCCTAGGAAAAACAATTGCTCCGGTGACAAATCAAGTCCAGGCATCTGTTCATTCTTGTGCACATTGGAGGCGTTGTTCTCGCTGCTCACTTGCTGCTGCTTCATGTAGCTACGATAAGCACTCAGCGCCTCACGTAAGCCGCCGCTGTCCGCTATATTCTCATCCTTGGTCTGATTGCCGTTGATCTTGCGATTGATCTCCGGTATTACATAGCTATTGAAATGGTCAACATAGCATTTGGCTCGCTCGTTAAACACCTCGCCGGATTTCTTAGACCACCAGTTGCGTGCGGTGCCGTTGCTATCGAACGTAGAGCCAATGCTATCGAAGCCATGCGTCAGCTCGTGACCCACCAGATAGCCAATGGTGCCGAACTTAAGCGAGTTGGGCCACGCCTGATGGTATGCCGGCGGATGCAGGATGCCGGCCATTACATTGATCGAATTGTCTATATTGTAGTAAAACGCATTCACCTGCATGCCCACTAACAGTTCCAGAGGCTTTGTCGTATTGGACAGCTTCTTATGGTGTATGCCATTGTAGCGCTTAATATAGGTGCTAAAGTGATTAAGATTGATGTTGCTCTGGGCATAGGAGCCGGGTACTAACGTCAGATTGTTCATGGCTCGTATGAGGCTCTCCGAGAGACTGTCATCCTTGCATTTGCCAATCCGCGGCAAAATTGTGGACTCCTTGAGCAACGCCTCCTCGCGCGTTTCCACATCCAGCCAATTGGCGTTCTCCAGCAGTGACAGCTGGCTCTTGCGTAGCTCCACAATGATATTTGTAATCTCGGCGCGTTTCTCCTCCGTAAAGTACTCCTAAGCTCGGGCAGAGTAGCTAGTGTTAGGTATTAGGCATACAGTGTAATAAATGAATACGCACCACAAAATAAAGCTTGTCCAGCAGATGAGGCAGCGAGTACTGCACGATGAGTATACAGTGGTCGCGCTGGAACTTGGCGGCCTTCAATTTGGCATCCATCCGATAAAGCAGTTTCATGGCCAGATAATTGGCTACAGCTGGCTTATGCTTGGCACAAACCTTGTCCAGCTCAGTGTAGTAAAAGTCGCAGAAGCGTTCCATCGGAAACATGCCAAAATTTTGACCAGCCCAGGCAATATCATAGTACTGATCCCATTGGGGAAATGGCTCTGAGGTGTGCAGTTCGGTCAGCACATCACATTTATCCTGATCGTCGTCGAAGCGATCGGCAATCTGTAGTACATCGCGCCAGAAGGCAAAAACACCAGCTATTACATCGGCCACCCGCTCCTCGGCGAGACCATAAGCCGTCAGGTAACCCCGCATACGCTTTTCGTTGAGCCTGTAGCCTTTAGTGTCATTGGTAGCGATGTTGTCCGTGTGCACAATATAATCGAACCCCAGCTCTGGCAGCTTAAAGTATGGCATAAAAGGGTATTGGGGCAATATCTTCTCGTAGATGAGTCCGTCGGCACCGTAGTTAGTCAAGTGGGAGCTCATGTTAAACCAGCTGAAATTCGAGGCCAGCCACGCTTCGCCGTCCACGGCGGGGAAACCACCAATCGACCTGATAAGCTCCAGATAAGCGGGGTCGGCCGCTGGCAGCGGATAGAGCTGAGCGCTGAGGCATGCGTTGTAAAATTGTTGTGCAATGGCCAGCTCAGCACTGTAGCCAAGATCCTCGGCCAGCGTTGAGCTCCCCACCAGAAGCTGCTCCGCAACATCGGCCAGCGTATAAACAATGTCCAGCAGATTGCTCCGCTTATGTTGGGTTTGCCTCTCCTGTTTTACATTTTTCCAGTTGCCACATGCGTACTCATAGAAGTCATCACATGGCGCCACGCTGCGGTTCATGTAGCTCAGCATTTGAGACGCATAGGATTTCAGATATTCGGCATTGGCATCCGTTATAATGTTATCAATACTCTCAGTGCTTGTGGCGTCATCAATCTCCGACGCGGGCTTAGCTGCGCATGTAGCCAACAAAATTATTACCAATAAGGCACCAGCACACATCAATGATAAGCTTTTTTTAATCTCAAACATTTTCCTTTTCATCTAATACTTATTCGCATTCATTCATCCATATACATGGGTAAACATGTATTCTATATGTTTATAGCGTGTGTATGAAATTTTTCGTTGATTGATTGATTTGAAATAATGGCAATAATATGGCGCGCTCTGTCTCTAGTCTCGCGCGTCTGCTTCATTCAGAACCTAGTTTAAAACTGTGTGGCATGGCGGAAACACAAAATTGCCAGCATTAGCTGCTAAAGCGCTCTCTCTTTGATTAAGCGAAGTAATGCCTGCTCACTATGTCGTTGGCTGATAACGAATTGAATCAAAAACATGACCTATTCTAAGCGCGACAGATAATAAATAATTTTGCCATACTGCCACGGTTCACACTCATTGGCCAATTCAGTTGCGTATCAGTTTTGCAATAGAGAGCGCCAAAGCATTTGAAAGTCTTATAAATAATTGGCAGCACTAGACGGTATTGGTTATTAATTGATAGACTCGATATATTTAAGTTAACGATAGGTAAGCCGTGCCTTGAATTCCAAATGTTATGTTTTTAAGTGCTATACAAAAATCATCTAAGAATTAAAATTAAGTTGAAAAGCGCAAATGTAGACGCCAAAAGTAACAACAATATGAGCTTGATGGCAGTTTGCCAGTAATATATCGATATAATACCAAAATATGGTATCTCGGATGCTTGATAAATAAAACAGAACATACACAAACTGGGTCAGACTACCCTGTTCAAAAAACGCCGCCTATACCAATGTGGCAACGCCAAGCTATGCGATTAAATACTACTCTTGTTTTTGTCACTGTTTGAATTAATAATAAAATGTCGTTTTCAAGCGCTGGCGAATTCCGCGTAGTTCTACAGCAATATAAAGTAAGTCTTACTGCCCAAACGTTTAACACAACAACTTAACTATTATCATTCAGTACGGATCGCATCAAATATTCTGCATCATTAAGATACTGCCAGACACTGTTAGTTTTTTCGAAAAGGAGCCGGAAAATGACTTCAACTGGATGACGGCCGCTCGCTGGACAAAACTTGAAAGCGCCCTATGGCGACTGTTTGCCAGCATCAATAATTGGGATGAAGACGCACGCAAGCTAAAAACCCAAATGCTCATAGATCACATAAAAGTGTCGATCAGCTCGTCCGAGGAATTGCTGCCAGCTGCACAGAAGCTGTTGCAGGATGAGGTGCTAGCCCAAAATGATCTTGGCCTGGATATTGTGCTGCAGTACATGTCACACGATGACAAAACAATTGTTGACTCACAGGCGAAGAAACGCAAACTTACCGACAGAGTAAAACCCACCCCGCTGGAGAGCAACGCCGACAATGCCAAAGTCAAGGCGGCTTCCAGCAAAAAAAAGGCAGCAGCAAGAATCAGGTAGGCAAAGCCTTGTATTGCTATAGCTGGTCAGTTTAATTAATTATTATTAATTCTTTCATAGTAATTCCGAACAAGCGCAGCCGTCTGAAGAGCCGTCCATAAGCAAACGTCCAGCCTCGGAAACGACGAGCAGAAAACGTGAGCGTAGATCAATTTCCCAAGGTAGTCACAGTGTCGAAGATGTGCCGACAACATCAACGATTGAACAGACTTCATCTCGCGGTCGTACGGACAAGCGCACGAAGAGTCCAACTTCGCGGTATGCTGATTACTAGTATAGTAATATGTATAATAATTGTCATGCCCGAACCATTTCTAGTGCAAACTCCGTTGAGCCAAAGGCGGAACGGCGTTCAGCTCGCTCTCCGGTGCGACCAGGTCGTTATAATGAATTTGTTTTGAGGTAGCTGAGGCCATATAAATATTAAAACTATGTCTTCATACGTTAATATATTATATATTTTACAGCGATAAAATTACGCGTAAGGTTAAACAAAAAATAACTGACAGCGACTCCAGCGCTGAGAAAGGACCAAGCAAAAGTGCAAGTAACAACAAGCACAAACAAACGGTTGCCAATGGAAATGCAGCTCATTCAGGCTCACAAAACTGGAAATTTGAACAGCTCGATGGAGCGCGTATTAATAAGGCTGCGCTCAAGCAACTGAACGATATGCTTGACATACCCAAGCCCCGTAAAGTTAAGATTCTGTAAGATTTGAATTTAATATCATTTTATATAGAGTATTACAAATTTTATAAGAAATGTGTTACGCTTTTACGACCCACCATAACAATTGTTTATTCTTGATTTGCATCAAAACTCGCATAGAGATAAAATGTCGCTCTATTCTTTCATCGATCTAAATTTAGCAAAATCTCATTCAGTTGGCCTTATAAAAAAATATCGTTCACAAGCAGAGGTCTCGTATATTCAAATTTGATCTTGAAACAACTTCAGCAAAATCGCATCAGTTTCGGACTACTATATGTATTGCTAGAAACAATTCTTATATGCAAACCATTTTGGTTTGGCGAGGTATATACACTAAACTGAGCCGTTCCGATCTAAATCCTATCACTATATTGTCTAAATAACTTATTTCTCTAATAAAAATAATTTTACATATTAGTCTGCTTAAGGATATGGACGAGGCGACAGTTCTTAAAACATTCGAGGCATATAGGATAGACTTTGATCGGCTATTCAAGGAGAGGGAGTATAAGTACCAAACAACCAGCTATATGACCATCGATCACTGTC